GTCAGGCAGAGGAGGAAGAARTAAATCTCTTTCCTCCTGTAAAGAATCTGCAGGTTCTTCAGAACCCGGAGCGGAACCGTGTGCAATGTTTTCCAGGTTATTAATGCTGTAAAATGCWGTGAATAATATGAGGAGTAATGACCCGTGTCTCAAAGCAATCCTGTGTTCGCTGACATTTAAGGCTTTTAATTTGTGTTTCCTGCGGCCCCCGTCTGCCTCCCCTTTCCTTTCACGGCACCGTTCGGACTCGCCGCGGCTCCGCGGTGGGCTCAGATCCGTGTCCTGCCTTCTCACTGTAAATGTTGCATGTTTGGTTTGTTCTGTTTGTGCTGCTAAAGGTCGGCGGTGTCAGAGTTCACAAATTGCCTCGGCGCCACCTACCTCTGCGCGAATGTCACCAACAGTAGCCGAGAGCGGTGCCGGTAATTACCGGGCCGGCGCCGGTTCTGTTTGTGAATCTCTATGTGCACGTGGTGACGTGCACAGAAACAGATTTTACCAATGCACGTTGACTCAAAAAACAAGAAAAGTAGAACCTGCAGAGAAACAAACATCAGACTCAGTTAGATAACCAATGAAATAACACTTATTAAATGTAATTAACTAATAATTTACTGTAATTAACTAATAATTAACTGTAAATAACTAATAATTACCTATAAATAATTAATCATTAACTATTCATTTCTACGGCTCCATACTTTTAAATTTGAACATTTTCTAAATTGATTTTTGTTGAAGTTATATGAAATTTGAAGCCAAATAAAAGTCAAACTGAAAAAACTGAAAGTTTAATTTAAAGTTTTGATTTTTTTTCCAGCATTTTCATACATAATTCTGATCTCATCAGGCATTAGCACCTTGTATCTGTACTTAGGCTACTTTCAGCTTTTAGCTACAGTTCGGTTAGTTTTAGCTGTTAGCTATGGTGCTTCTAATTTTAGCTTTTAGCTTGACTCAATGTAGCTGTTTGCTATGCTCATTAACTTTTACGCAGTGTTTTTTTTTACAGCTAGCTTTTGGCTAATTTGCAAATTTTATTTTTTAAAACATACTTCAAAATCTTTAAGATATCGAATCAGTATATCGTTTTACATTTTTCTAATATTCTCAGTTTTACTGTTGTGAAAATATTGCTGTCCGTTTAGTTCGTAAGACATTTTTTAAATTTAAATGTTGAGTGTTTTCGTGGCCACAAGGGGGCAGCAGAACTTCTCACTAACAGAACATCTGACATATTTATTTTATTTAAAAGTCCTTAAAACAAGAAATCCACAAATAGAGAGTTTCCTAAATAAAGGAAAGAAATAATGAGCTTCTAGACCTAAGGGTTCACATCAGGTCTCAGGAACAGGAAGTGAAACAGGAAGCTAAATAATGAAATATTTCAGAGCTGAAACCGAAGGCTAAAAGCTGCGGGAAACTTTTTCTGTTGACCTTTAATGTTAAAAATGTGACGAGTGCAGCTTTAAATGTCACGCTGTTTCACTCTATCCTGTCCACTGAGGAGTGCGGTGCCGGTCCAGTGGGGGATGTGGGGGTTCAGAGTCCCTGGTGGGAGGGGTAACACCTGTTTTATTTATTACCTGCTGTGTGTCGTGTCTGAGAGCAGCGTTTAAATCAGAAACAGAGTTTAATTTGCAGCTCAGAGAGTCACGGCCTTTCTGGATTGTTGGTTTCCATAATTGNCCCCCACCCCCTCCCATCTGAAAACAGTGCATCATGGGAATTTAATTATGAAGGAAATGTAGCTGCTGACCCTGCAGGACTCGAGCGGAGCCGTCATTCAAAGCCAGTGGGGTCTCAGATCCTCTGACTTTGGGTTCTGAAGGGTTTTTAGGGAAGAACCAAGGGTGCTGGAGGTCATCCTGGTCCCTCTGCCCCCCACCCACTCCCTCCATTAGGGTCAGTGATAAACAAAAGCTGCTCAGTTGTGTGTGATGATACTCTGCTCCATCCTGTCTAACAGCTTCCACATGTGCAGTGGAACCCACCGACACCGCCTGCCGTTAACCCGAACCACATCAGAACCATGTYGGACCCTTAAGATCTAATCAAAGGAGTCTGAAGAATCTGTCAGCTGTTTTAAAATCACCGTCAAACTTTAAAGAAAGGTTTTAAATTCCTGCACCCACTTTGCTCTGACGGCCTAAATTTAGACCCAGAACAGCCGAAACCACTCAGAAACTGTATAATTGTCTGAATTGAGTCCACCTGTGAGCAATCCGAGTCCCACGTGGACTCAATGTACCAACATCTGCTGCTGAAGACCTCCGTCTTTACAGCACCATTGACCCAGAAGATGGTAAAAAACAAATACAGTACTCCCAGACCACACCAGGACTGAGGTTCTAATGAAGCTGGGTTCTAAAACAACATGAAAACTTTCTGACATCCCATGAAAATGTGTCATTGGATTAAAGGAAATTTCCCAACATGATCTGGATTAAGTTGAAACTGAGTCATGTTTCAGCTAAAAGTTTGAAGTTGTAAAAATGCTGACTCATCGTTTACATCTTTGTTCCACCCGTTTTATTTTTGTAAATTTAACCAACTAATCAAATTTCTGCAGGCTTCACAGTGTCTGTTCTGTTGCTTTTTAAGTTCTAAATGCCTTCTAAATTCATCATTTTAATTTATTTTATCTGTTGGAATATTTGAATAACTTCTATCTTTAGATGAGTCAAGCTCCGCCCCCTTCCTGTCTAATTGAGCCCTGATTGTCCCGTTAACCTCTGAACAGTTCTCAGTAATGGACCTATATGCCCCTCCACAGCAGAATCTGACCTCTTCCTCTGACACAGGAAAGGCTGTGGGGTGGTTTAGGGACTCTCTGGGGAGGGAGTGGGGACATCCTGTCGGCTGGGGGTCAGCAGAGGTCTGTTCAGAACAGGTGTCAGGCTTTGTACCACAACCTAAACTGGTCTCTGCAGGGAGACCTCAGTGCAGAGTTGAGGACATGTAATCGGTCTGTGTTAACCCAACAGAGGAACAGAGACTACACAGAGTTTTTATTTGCTTTGATGGGTTCTTTGTTCTCTAAGGGTTCTTCATGTTGGACCTGGTCTATGGTTTATGGTGAGTGGGGACAAAGAACCCATATGAGCGGGAGGCCTCGTCAGTGGATCCATTGCTCTCCCCAAAAGACACTGGTCTTTATTCAAACCTTTGTATATGGTCCCAACAGTAGACTTAAAGTTGTTCTATCTGCCTGAAACTTACAGCCAGAACTTTGACCTGATACTTCCTGTCAGTCTGTCATTTATTTATTTATTTATTTAGTAACTCTCTTTTACCAAATTTTAATTAAAGGTAATTAAAGTTAATTAAAGGTAATGTTTTGTAAGCCTTAAATATAACCTGTAAAATATTATAATCAACCAATTGTAGATTTTCAATAATTTCAGTTAATAAAATAATGTATTTTTTGGGTGACCATAATGTTTTCTAGTAATAATTCCTACCGCTCTTCACTGTTAAATAAAACTAGGATTTGTAATTGTTTTGCATGCTTTTCCCCAAACTTCAATACAATAGATTAAGTGCAGAACAGCCATATAGTATACAGTTTATACAGAGCTTTATCATTCAATAGCTCCCTTACTTTGTACAGTAGTGCTATTGATTTTGCTATTTTTATTTTGACACCCAAAAATTTAACCTCACTAACTCTATAAATCTCAACAACATCACTTCTAAATGGGACATCAGTCGTCTTTTTTCCAAATATCGTGTGGTTTGTTTTATCCAAATTTAATAACTTATTAAGTTGAAACAAAGTTTGTATTTTCACAAATTCTGCTTCTATCATCTCTAACATCTGTTCAAAAACTTCACCCAAACAAAAAAAAATGTTGTATCATCTACAAATAAAACACACTTCTAAGGCCCCAACACACTAACCAAGTCATTCACGTACAAAATAAATAACTTTGGTCCAAGCACAGTACCCTGAGGAACTCCACATGTAATATTACAGAATTCAGATTTACCTGAACAAACGGTTCTTATTAATCAAATAGATAGATACTCACTGTAGTGCTAATCCTCTAAGGCCATATTTGTTCAACTTTTCGAGGAGAATGTTGTGGTCAGTAATGTCAAAGGCCTTCTTTAGATCAACAAAAACACTAACACAGTGATCAACTGCAGTTATCTTTTCCATTAATTCCATGAGAGCCACTGATGTTGAATTATTTGCTTTAAACACATATTGGCTGCTAATTAAAATATTCTGTTTATCTCTAAATCGATCTAATCTAGTTATGAATAATTTCTCTAAAATTTTTGAAAACTGGCAACAAAGCTATTGGTTGTTGTGGCCTAATTATTTCTCTATCACCTTGACACTGTCCACTGTTCATATCTTGTGATATCCTCTGGACGTCATCATCAAGTTGACCTACTTCAACGTATCAGGATGAGGCAGGTTATGATTGGTTGGTCATTATCACATGATGTTAGCTGACAGTATATCATTGCTTGGCAGCCAATGACGGGCGGGCCACATCCAACAGACTTCCTGATTGTTTTCTGTTTYATGTCTGCCCATTAATAAATGACTTTACGAACATACCCGCAAGACTGTTTGTCTATTTAACATCCTTTCGCCGTGTTTCTGCCCACCTTCCCACRACATTGGTCATTTTCCACGCTCCACTCAGATGGTTTGTTTGGGTTTTTTTTTTTTTTTTTTTGGACTCCCTAAAAGATAAAAACTCAACGTGAGTGGGTCTGAATGCTGATCAGTTTCTATATAGACCTGGAGTTTAATGTGCTTGGTATCATCTAAACTTCAGAGTCATGCTGTGACTCAGTTGTTAGAACTTCATTTTACTGTTTTGTTCAGTTTATGTAACTCTACTGCCTGTGTTTTGTACCAAAATGGTTCTGACACTGCAGCAATTRTAGAAAACTGCTTTCTTCTGGTTGTTTGGTTTTGTTCTTTAGGTGAAATCTCAATAAATTGAAACATTAATCTTTATGTTCTGTCCCGGCAGAACAAGAGGAGAACTTTGAGTTCATCATTGTGTCCCTGACGGGTCAGACGTGGAACTTTGAGGCCACATCATACGAGGAGCGGGACGCCTGGGTGCAGGTCATCGAGAGCCAGATCCTCGCCAGCCTGCAGTCCTGTGAGATCAGCAAGAACAAGGTCAGCCGAACTTTACAAGCTGTAGTGGTCCTGGTTTGATGGGAAGTCAGGTTGTCTCATGGTTTAGCCACTCAGCTAGCAGCTGTAGCATCAGGTCCTGCCCATCAGAACCATGTTCTGGTGTCAAAAGTTCTCAGATTATTTCAGGTTTAAACCAGGAGCAGAAACACCAGATCTCCACATAATTACAAAATACCAATTACTGTATAGCAGGCAGGTCCGTCTGAGCCGGGTCTGGCGTGTTTACCCCCCAGGCTCTCTACCTTTTATTACCCCACACACACACACACACACACATACACACACACACCATCACCACCACCACCACCCTCATCCTCACCCACCTAAAACCATTTCATTTGTTTGTCGTCTCGTTCTTTCATTTTACGGACATGAAACAGTCTGGGTTTGATGTGTGGAAGTCACAGCTGGGGAAGGTGTTGAGTATTAATCTACCAGGGCCATCAGAACCACCAGAAGCACAACAATGTCTGATGTTTTCAGCTTCTTCAAAAGGAACAAATTAAAAAATATTTACGATCCAGTATTTTTAGAAAACAAATAAAATGATCTCAGATTTCCTGTTAATAATCAATCATTTTTGCAGATTTATTTTGATGAGACTCAATGTTATAGATTTATTTTTATGGTTCTCATTACAGTTTTATTTTTGATAGGGCTGACTGTTACAGTTTTATTTTGACAGGTCTTATTGTTACAGTTTTATTTTGACAGGTCTTATTGTTACAGATTTATTTTTGACAAGTCTTATTGTTACAGATTTATTTTTGACAAGTCTTATTGTTACAGTTTTATTTTGACAGGTCTTATTGTTACAGTTTTATTTTAACAGGTCTTATTGTTACAGTTTTATTTTGACAAGTCTTATTGTTACAGATTTATTTTGACAGGTCTCAATGTTACAGATTTATTTTGACAGGTCTTATTGTTACAGATTTATTTTGATAGGACTCGTTTGTCTTTCAGTCTCGGTTGACGAGTCAGTCGGAGGCGTTGGCGCTGCARTCCATCAGAAGTATCCGAGGAAATGGCCGCTGTGCCGACTGTGAAGCTCAGAGTGAGTAAATATATTTTAGTTTTGTTTATTTTTATGTACAGAATTGTTTCTGAAACTAATGTTCAGAGAAAACTAAAGATTATTTAAACTCTGGTCCACAGAGAAAAACAACAAACGTTTAGTGTTGTAAGCTAATATTAACAATGTACCTGTTGTTTGGCTGCTCTTCATCTCAGTGAGTTTAGAATAAACTCTTGAAAATATGTTGTCCCTCAGAGACCTGCCAGGACCCTGACATCCTCAGTCAAACCCTATAAACTTGTTTTCTTATTGCTCCTCTAGACCCAGACTGGGCCAGTCTTAACCTGGGGGCACTAATCTGCATCGAGTGCTCAGGTATCCACCGGAACCTGGGCACGCACCTGTCCAGGGTTCGCTCCCTGGACCTGGATGAGTGGCCTCTGGAGCTCATCAAGGTGATGTCGGCCATCGGCAACGAGCTCGCCAACAGCGTGTGGGAGGCCAACACTCAGGGACGCCCCAAACCTGGACCGGACGCCAGCAGGTAGGCTGAGGGTCAAAAGGGTTAAGACTCTTTCAGGTTTTACGTCCAGGTTCAGAACATTAAACGTTCTGTCCAGTATCAACAAAGACTGATAGAAAAACAAACAAAAAAACTGTTTTATTTAGGATTAATCTTTAAGGTTTGTAAACAAAGTTATTTAGTTAAGCTCCTCTAAGAGAGAAGACTTTTAAGATAAGATAAGATAAGATAAGATAAGATAAGATAAGATAAGATAAGATAAGATAAGATAAGATAAGATAAAACTTTATTGATCCCACAGTGGGGAAATTTGCACATTACTGCAGCTTAATACAGATACGGCTGAGAAGAATAATGAAAGGTAAATAAAAGATAAACAGTTTATTTCTAGAACAATTTGTCTTATTTTCACTAATATTTTTGTTTTATTTGATAATAAAGCTCATCTGTTTTCCTCTGAAAAACGATGCAGTTTTTTTATCACGTTTTGAATTTAATTAGTTTGAACTGTTCGTGTTAAGTTTGTATCACAGGAAGTGAGTTAGTTTTGATCATTACAGGTTGTGTGTGTGTGTGTGTGTGTGTGTGTGTGTGTGTGTGTGTG